GGCTAAGTGGCCATTTTTTAAAAATGTGCAATTTAAGAGTTTTGTCCGTTTCTTTTCCTCATTCAGCTCACATTAAAAATTTACAGCTGTGGGAGCCCCCTCCCTCCCTCCCTCCCTCCCTCCCTCCCTCCCTCCCTCCCTCCCTTCCTTCCTTCCTTCCTTCCTTCCTTCCTTCCTTCCTTCCTTCCTTCCTTCCTTCCTTCCTTCCTTCCTTCCTTCCTCAGTTGAAATGATTTAATACTGTAGTAGAACCCCAAGTTCAGATATATATCAGTGACCTGAAAGGGAGATGTCTGGAAATGTTATTAAAAAAAATATGAATATAAGAGTAACATATTTTCTGTAATAAGGACGCATACTGTTGCACAATGCATTTAGAATACAACCCCACTAGAGATTTTTTTCAGTGCTTCTAGGTTATTTTTACCCCTGCTTACCCTGCTCAGAAAGCCATTCAAGGAGGCTAAAACAAGCACTCAGAGTAACTAATCAGAAGCTGCTGCTAACTGTTAATCACTTCCAAATCATGTATTGTGAAAAGCTATATTGCAAGGCTTATTTTAATTGTTTGTATCTAGTTGAAGAATATACAGCACACTGGAACTCTTTATTTTGCATTGCAAATGGACTGGGGTATTAAATTTACAGAGTCAATCATAAAATACAAGGATTCCATATCCACCAGCTGTATCTCATCTTGCTAATCTGTAGGTTTATTTTTAAAAATATTGGGTGGGGGTGCTTTTAAGAGAAGTCACACAGTTCTTCCCTCCCCCCACCCCCCAGCAAATGGATTCCTTGTTGTGTTGTGGAGAGTGATAAATTGATACCACATGTCCCTTCCAGACAAAAAGCCTCTGTACTCCAGGCGAGGTGCATGCAGCTGGTGTCTGAATTAATGGGCAAGACCCATAAGGTAAACACAGCATGGAAGAGACTGAAACAGAAACTGAGCTCAGAAGAGTGGGGAAATTTTTGTAGAAAAGGATATGCCAATGTTCCCAAACTAAAGAAATAAAGAACAAACAAATGAAACACTTGCAAATAGAATTCTGAAATATGAGAAACAGTGGTCCTGATCGAGTCAGCAAAACTGTAAACAGTCTTCCACTGTCCTTATAAAACTTATGAACGAACATGGCAAAGCATATTCAGTGCGTTCATTTCACTGTTTGTAATAGGATAGGTAATTCCACTAAGGAGTGTTCCTTATGATTGGGAGAATGGACACATGTTTTCTGTGGGAATGTAATTAGCAATAGCACTTAGTCTTATATACCGCTTCACTGTGCTTTACAGCCCTCTCTAAGAGGTTTACAGAGTTCATCATATTGCCCCCAGCAATTTGGATCGTCATTTTACCGACCTCCGAAGGATGGAAGGCTGAGTCAACCTTGAGCTGGTCAGAATCGAACTGCTGGCAGTCGGCAGAATTAGCCTACAATACTGCATTCTGACCAATGAGCCAACACGGCTCATAACATGTATAACTTTTGCCTTTCTCTTTTTGCTACCATTTTGTTTAATATTTCTTCTGCAAAACTTCAGTTTATATTTCAAAGGAAATCTTCATTGGTGTGAGTGGAGCATTCCTCTTTATGCAAATAACAATTTTAAAGAGGAACTTAAGTTCCCAGAATTGCTCAGGCTACTTGGTGGCTGTTGTTGACATAACACAATATATGCACATTGGCCCTAGAAGTTACATTAACTGCACTGTGCCTGGAAGCATGGCAGAGAGGGATCCCTGGTATTTCTCATCTTTGGGACAAGTTTGATCCAGTGGTGGGTTGCTACCGGTTCGCACCAGATCAGGCAAGCCGGTAGCGGCAGTGGCAGGAGGCTCTGCCCACCTGCTTGGACGCCCATACGCCGCGCACGAGCGAACCAGTAGCAACGGGATTTGGAACCTGCCCCTGGTTTGATCCCAGGATGGAATGTTGCACTTCAATGTTGAAATGCAGGAACCTTATATGAGATAGTGGAGGCAATATTTAGCTTGAAAGGGAACTACTAGTGTTCATTCAGATTGACTCAGGTTGGTTTTCAGTAGTAATAAATGCAAGGGAAAACAGTATACATTAGTTTTAAGAAACTTATTCATTCAACAGTCACCTAGTATTGCCCATCAACAAGAAACAATATAAGTAACAATTACTGTGAAGTAAGAAAATGAATATGAAGTGTGTTTTTTTATCAGTAGCTACTTTTGTGTGAGGAAGAAATTGAACAAAACCATAACCAAAGCTACTAAAATTAGACTGGTCTATTACAATAAGGTGTTAGTTTCTTCTCCCACTGAGAAAACATAGGATTTGATATATAGGCGGTTGGCTTTAGGTAAAGCTCAAGTCTTACAGTTGTAATAGCTTGGTTTTTGTCATTCAGGCTAAACACATTTGAACTGTGTCTTAATCTGAATATTTGTTGGGTAAAAGCCTGACACTTTGATACACAGTTGCATTAATGCTCCAAAATTCAGCAAATTGTATAAAATTTTCATCAAACACTGTGCAGTGTAAACCACTCTGATCCAATACACAGATGATTATTATTACTTTTATTGTTTTTAGTATTATAACTTACTACAGATGACTGAAAGGTTTCGAGAGTTTACACATAGACGGAGATACACAGTAGGGCTATAATCTTTCCGATAAGAAAAACCACCTCACTCATAGAAAATCAGTATGCACCCGTTAGAGTATTTGCAGAGCTTGGAATCAAAGCCATAAACTGGCAAAGTGAAAAGAAAATACTCCAGAGCTTTTACTTTATTAAAGGTGTGCGTTTATACTTACAAAGGGAGAGTGAGTGGCATTTGGTATGTATTTATATTTGCTTGAAGTGGTAGTTTATTTTATTTATTTGTTTGTCAAATTTACGTGGCTGCCCATCTTATGAAAAAGCGATTCTAGGCAGCCTACAACAGTATATATCTGCTATGATCAAGAGAGAAAACCCTGGCTTTGAACTTTATTACTTTTTTTTCCCTTTACTGGACCTGGCCTTAGACAAAACATTTTTATGTACTTAAACGATGAATAAAAAGCACGTAGACTGCATGTCTTTGCACACCCCAGATGTTTTTCATTAACTTAATGTCATCCTGCTTCTTTATGTCAGACGTAGCGATGCCAATGTGAATCATCGAGCTTGAATGACAATCCCCATTGTACAATATAAAATAGTTTTAAAAAAAAATCAGTGAATTCCTACTATTCTGTTTTCAAAACATGTTTTCAAAAACATTTCACTTTTCCACATGGATATGATCCATATCTGCCAGTAGTTTTTAAGTACCTCCTCACATTTAAAGAGACCCGGTCATACTGTGGTTTCCTCCAGATTCTTATCTCCAAAATACTTTAAGGTTTTGACACGCACAATACAAAGCTGCTCATTTTAATTGTTAAAGTAACAAGGACCAACTTCGGAAGCAGCCATCCAGGACTTGCAAATGACATGGCTGCTTTAGCACTCTGAAAAGAGAGGCTTCGCCTAGGCCTCTGCGCTTTGTAAAGAACTAGCTTTGCTTTGCACAATTGGACTATATTTGGACTATACAGGCTGTAATCCTACCAGTCTCATCTTCCTTTGGGTGTGTCCAGACAGAGGGTTGTAGCAGTAACAACCACAAGGCATTCTGCCTTTGCCACCTTTCCCAACTTATTCTGCCCTTCCCTTTATTTATTTTTTCCGATATGGTAATTAAAATAGCTAGAAGCAATGGTGGGAACGTGCAGGAAGTTTATTATTGGAAGAAATCTTTCAGTCAGTTCTCTGAAAAATTCTGAGAGTGTGGTTTGATATTTTGACAATAAAAGCCTTATCTGGAAGTTCTCCCCCTGCCACTTTTTTTTTACTACTATAAACCTAAAGTGCATCTCAATGGAATGGCTGGAAATAGCTTTTAGACTAGCAGTATATGTCTCTTGCAACCATCCGTTCATTCTAGTATGACCCTAAATGGCATGCTGGTTTTGGGGTGATGGGATTTCTCAGGTCAGTGGTGTTTTGACTTGTTGCATTTCTTATGGCAATTGACTAGAATTTGGTTTGCTCAACTCTTTCATATCCACTGGTAAAAACCACACAGTTGGTGACTGTGCTATATATAATTGTTTTTCTCTTTGGAAACTTACAGCAATGGCTCAGGGTAGAATATTAACCAAGTTAGTTTGCTCAGACACCACTAAAGGAAAAGGGAAGATGAGAAAAAACTAATAAACATAGTTGTTGCTATTTACGGAAGATCATTAGGTTACAACATGTCAGACAGGTTTTGCTTTGCGTTTTCAGTTTGTACACTATGATTTAGAAATAAGTGAGTTGCAGAACTGGTTCTTGGCTATAAGTGCTTAGGATCATAGGATATCTATATTAATTATCCTGATTTTCTATGCATCTGATTACTTTGGCAACTATTTTAATGGGAAGCTTTTTAAATAAAAGATAGAGATTCTCTTTAAGCTAATGAACATAATTTAAGAGAATTTGTTTAGAAAACACCACTAAATCACCAAAGCTATGTGCTTACAATAGTAGCATCAGTACTAAATGCTCTTTCTCAGAAAAGGGCTTATCCACACATTCATTATATTTATGCCATGCAGAAATACTTTGAATTTTACCATGATTCCTGTACTAAATTCTGTATTTATTCTAGAGTCTGAACAACCTATTAAAAACTAGAGAAGTAATAGCCATAATGGAAGTCCCAAAGGTGCTTTTTCAGGAGACAACTGTCCTGTCAGAACTGAAGAAGTTTCTTGGATGAGAAGCGAAACGTCTTCAAAGAAAAAACAAGAAAGTCTAGTTGCCTCCTGAAAAAGCATCTTTGGGACAACCATGACCTGGATGACTGAGACTCCCTTCAGATTTTTAGCAATAATGGAAGTTTTTTTTCCTTTATGTTTTTTATGTCTTAAGTATTATTGAATAACAGCATTTACTTGACATATTCTAAATTTGGGGGATTTTGTGTGTTGTCTTTACAGAACTCAATCAGACACAACTTGTCCCTTCACAGTCGATTCATCAGGGTACAGAATGAAGGAACTGGGAAAAGCTCATGGTGGATGATCAACCCCGACGGTGGGAAAGGAGGGAAAGCACCACGCAGACGGGCTGTATCGATGGACAACAGCAACAAATACACAAAGAGCCGAGGACGAGCAGCTAAGAAAAAAGCCGCCCTTCAAGTTGCCCAGGAGACAAGTGACGACAGCCCCACCCAGCTATCCAAGTGGCCTGGTAGCCCAACCTCCCGTAGCAGTGACGAACTGGATGCGTGGACAGATTTCCGGTCTCGTACCAGCTCGAATGCCAGTACAATAAGTGGCCGCTTGTCCCCAATATTGGCAAGCACTGAGCTAGATGAGGTGCAGGATGATGATGCTCCCCTTTCTCCCATGTTGTACAGTAGCTCACCCAGCATGTCTCCATCAGTGAGCAAGCCCTGTAACGTTGAGCTGCCTAGGTTGACTGACATGGCAGGCACGATGAACTTGAATGATGGCTTGACAGATAATCTTATGGATGACCTCCTGGACAATATAACCCTTCCCTCTTCCCAGCAGTCACCCACAGGAGGTCTCATGCAGAGAAGCTCAAGCTTTCCATATGGCTCCAAAGGTTCAGGGCTTGGTTCTCCATCCAGTAGTTTCAACAATGCTGTGTTTGGACCATCATCTCTGAATTCTCTCCGTCAGTCTCCCATGCAAACCATCCAAGAGAACAAGCAAGCTACATTTTCTTCCATTTCGCACTACAATAACCAAACTCTGCAGGATCTGCTGGCATCGGATTCACATAGCCACAGTGACGTCATGATGACTCAGTCTGATCCACTCATGTCACAAGCTAGCACCGCTGTGTCTGCCCAGAACGCCCGCAGGAATATTATGCTTCGGAATGATCCAATGATGTCATTTGCTGCTCAACCAAGTCAGAGCTCTTTGACCAATCAGAACCTGCTCCACCACCAGCATCAATCCCAGAATTCCTCTCTCAGTGGCAGCCGTGCCTTGTCAAATTCTGCCGGTACTATGGGCTTAAGTGACACCAACCTTGGATCAGCAAAACACCAGCAACAGCCACCTGCCAACCAGTCTATGCAATCACTTTCTGACTCCCTCTCAGGCTCTTCTTTGTATGCCAACAGTGTGAGCCTTCCGGTCATGGGGCACGATAAATTCCCCAGTGATTTGGATCTGGATATTTTCAACGGGAGCTTGGAATGCGACATGGAGTCCATTATCCGCAGTGAACTCATGGATGCAGATGGATTGGATTTTAATTTTGATTCCCTCATCTCAGCCCAGAATGTTGTTACACTGAATGTGGGAAACTTCACTGGTGCTAAGCAAGCTTCATCACAGAGTTGGGTTCCAGGCTGAAGGATTTATGCAAAGAGGGGAAAATGGGCAAAGCAGGTTAGCAATGTTTAGTCTGTTGCATTCAGTACTGTACTTGACAATATGTAAATATAGCTTTGAAAGAGGACAAGTACAGCTTTTACAGCAAACACCCAGACCTAACTCAGGGTTAGATTACAGCTATGATAAGAGTTTCCAATAGAAATAACTAAAGGCTGATTTAATTTCAGTCTTCTCCATTGTGTTCTGTGGGCATACTATATTGAGAGATGTAATTCATTCCCAAACTCTGACCCACTATCAGCTCCTGATGCATGTTGAAACGTTTCAGAAAACTTTTTTTTTTTTTGGTTTGGCTCTTCCCACTTGGTGATCGTTTTATACTTTTTTAAAAAAAATCACTGCATGGGGTTTTGTTAGTGTGATGTTAGTTCCAACTTGCATCGTTACGGGGTAAATTATGAGATAAAGTGCTATCTACCCATCCTTAAATTGACAAACAAACAAACAAACAAAACCACTATACTAGAACAACATTTGCTGTTTGCATTGCCAACCTTTATTCTGCCTCTCACCTGTCTGTTTTGATGCACTGCTGGACAGTAGGGTCCTGATTATCCATGTGGGGTGCACGATAAGCAAGGAAGGATCTGGCTTTGCTTCTCCTTTCTCTTCTGTGTATCACCAACCATCAGGGACGCTATCTGACAGTCACGGCACCAGAGGAGAAATGGGCAGGTCCATCTAGAGAACTCTGTCCATCTTTTTAGGCTCCTTCCTGTGTCATTCCTCTTAACACTTCATTCTGTTGTAACTTAAGCCAAATAGGTGATTTAAAAAAACAACAACATCATAATTGCAAAGGGTAATGAGTTGCTGCTCTTTGGTTTAAGATTTCTATCCCCTTTTCCTCCTTTCCGTTCTTTATATAGATAATAAAGGATGACTTCATGCTTAGTTGGGGAGGCAAGGAGGAAGGGTTGGTCACTCATTCCGCTGTTTTCCTATCTCAGTCTTGTGTTAAAGGGTCATGGAGTTAAAATACTAACAGTACTGCTGGCTGAACAATCTGCTGTATTTGCAAACTCTGGTAAACCAGCAGCACAATACTCACCTTTAGGGAGACAAAGCAGAATGAGGGCAGACAAGGTTGGCCAGGGATGGGGAGGGGAGGAGTGTGCCTGTATTAACCTGAAACAGCCAATGAGAGCTTCTCTAACCACACCTGCTACTGATCATCTCACTTCATCCCTCTTATAAAGGGTGGCAAAGCACGACAAGTGTTATATACACATTGTGGCTGCTGCTGGATGCTCTTGGCTAAAGAGGAAAAATATCATTTCAGCTAAGAAGGTCTTAAATCTGCCTCACTCCTAGGCTGCCAATAAGAGAAAAGCAACATCATCATCAGGAGAGAGTAGAAAAAAGATGTTGCCAAGGCATGGTGATTGTATCATTGTTAGGTGCAAGTGGGAAAAGGCCTTAAGGGGAAAGTGAATTAAGGAAGAAGCAAAAAAAGTTACGGATATACAGTAGATCTTATCACCAAAGTAGTTTCTGAAATAAATTCACAGAAAGACTTACAATTTTCCAATCTGATATGCAGGCGATCTCATCCTAGCTTCTTTGGATGAAGCTGTTACCACATATGTTATCATTCATTTATTTTCTCCTATCAGAAATAAAGATACTGTAAACAATTACAATTACCAAATGAGAATCAAACCAGATATTGCACAATATTTTTCTTGTCAAAGTGCTTTCCAAAGTTACTTTTCCACTCAGATAAGAACTGTGACAAGATTATATGATTCTTTTACTTTGCAATAATAGCTAATGCTTTGAAAAAAAAAGAAATTAAGCCTTCAAAGCAGGCTATTGGGAGAGGAAATTGATTTCTATGATTTTGAAAAAAGAAAAAGCAGTTGTAGAGTCCTTAATAAAATTTTGGGGATTCCCCTTGCCAATATCATTTATCAAATTTAGGGGTACTCTGAAGATGTTATTTGTATTCCATATAAAAACTTGCTGACATTTTCACATAAACTAGTTTGGGGCCAGTTTGGGTTTGACAAAAAATGTCTGAAATATTGTAAGTAGCATAGTACTTGATCATATATAGTATGATTTTTAAGAGGACTACAAATTCCCTGTGGCATGCAGTTTAATACTGTAATCCTTGACTAAAAATGCTAAGGGAGAATGCAGCCATGATTATCAAATTCCTATCAAAGAATGCTCAGGTAGATTTTCAAGAAGACTAAGCATTATATTGATCTCTGCTGCTTAGATTTAAGCAGTATTTTGACTGGCAAAAAGTCCTCACATCTCATTTTCTCCAGTGAGCTATGTTGTTGGCAAAAATACCTTAGTCACTTCATTTTTCACAGCATGAAAGTGGAATGAGGTACCAGAAAAGAAAAAGTTGTTCCATCATGAAAGTGTATCATCTCTTGGCATAGAGTTAGCCAGCCTTCCTCCTTCCTTCCTTCCTTCCTTCCTTCCTTCCTTCCTTCCTTCCTTCCTTCCTTCCTCAACGGAATAAGTTGCATTGAACCCAACAGGATTTTTAGCAGAATAAACAAATGGAGCCACTATTTATTCTTCAAAGCTAAAACCAATATACATGAACATTAATACATAATACATATTTATAATTTATGTCTTAAATCTGTATATTTACAGTAAAGCGAAGAGTAAAACAAAAATATTGTGGTTGTAATTTAAAGCCATTTGGGAAAACCACAATAATGTTGATTAGCCCGTATTGTAGCATCAATTGTAGCATGATTTGCTGGCAACATTCATTCAAAAGCATACATGTCAGTGCTAGAGAAAAACACAGAAGGAGGTGAAGCAATTATTATATTTTATAAGTGTGACTTGATTCATTAGCTGGCCATTATTTATGCTTGCCCCCAACCCTCTCCTTAGAATATACAGATTTGCTAAAGATAAAATCAGCTTTTACTGCTTTGCAGAAACTCCAATTTCTTTTTTTCCTTTTCATTGCAGAGAAGCAATGAGAACTTTAGGGATGGGATTATATAGTACATGGTTCTGAAAAACCACTCATCAAGAGCCAGGGATAAGTTGGTAAAATTATTTTGTGGGCATAATGCACTATAGACTTTCAGTTATTGGAGACTTTCTCTGTGCTTTTCTGAAGGCCATTATGTTCATAAGATTCAGGAAAGATAATTGGAAACTGGTTGTTCCTACTGTTGCCAAAATTATGGGATAGCATAGGATGACAGCATCGCTTGATATTTTTAGAGCAAGCAGAGCAACATTGGGTGGAGTTCATAATGCATTCACTTTTGTATCACACTGACTTAGGATCATGTTGTAAAATACGATTGAATTTTTCTGTGAATATTTGTCACAGTTTAACTTTAGGATTTCAAATTTGTTTTCCTTCTCCATTTTGAACTGCTAAGATTTTTCAAGAGTGCTTTTTGTAGTAATGTTTTTTTCTTAGAAAAATCAAAGCATTTAAGGCTGCTATTTTCCAAGCTTGCAAAGTACGGCAAAACAAGGACTAACGCTAGACTTTCCTGGAAACGATTGCAATGATTTTAATTAACTCAGCTACTAAAAACGAATGTCCTGCGCTTCATTCTTCCATGCAGGATTCTATTTATGGTAATTTATGGTGTGCTAGAGGAGGTAGGAAGGGCAATGACTAAATCCTTGCATATCATAAATGTCTTCTGGAGGTGGCTGTAATAATTTTACTCCAAATTGTTTCATTTTAATTCAGTTTTCAGTTCAGGTTGATTGAAAGGTATTGGCTACTTTTGTGTGGCAATTTGTTACTAATGACCAACAGCTGCATGCTTTTCAGATCATTCTCACAAATTCATTCTATGAGTAGGAGTAACCATCCCTATCATGGGACATGGTGACTCAATGGCTAAGACGCTGAGCTTGTCGATCGAAAGGTCGGCAGTTCAGCGGTTTGAATCCCTAGTGCCGCATAACAGGATGAGCTCCCGTTACTTGTCCCAGCTTCTGCCAACCTAGCAGTTCGAAAGCACATAAAAAATGCAAGTAGAAAAATAGGGACTACCTTTGGTGGGAAGGTAACAGCGTTCCATGTGCCTTTGACGTTTAGTCTTGCCAGCCACATGACCATGGAGACGTCTTTGGACAGCGCTGGCTCTTCGGCTTTGAAACGGAGATGAGCACCGCCCCCTAGAGTCAGGAACAACTAGCACATATGTGCGAGGGGAACCTTTACCTTTACCTTTAACCATCCAACAACCATAGTAACTCTCCGAGAGTTGTTACTTCTAAATCAGGAATTTGGAACAGTCCAGTGTCCTGGCTGATGATAACCCAAAAATTCATGGATGACGGAGCCATATTAACTTTGCTGGCTCACTAAAGAGGCCAGGAATTAAAACTTTATGCTTTGCCCAATTGTACGAGTAGAAGCACTGAATGGAAATGACCGGATTACTGTATTTATAAAGAAGAATTGCACAAACAGAAAACTTGTTGCCTTTTTGCAACATATCATGGAGTAACACAGTATTGAGAATTCTTCAAGAACAAATTGAAATACATTTAATTTTAAAATTTAGAATAGTTGAATTGATATATATCACAAATATTATATTTGCTCTAACTTACACTTTCTACCGTATGCCTATTTAAGAGATCCTGGAGAAATATTATATAGCTCTTGACTCACCTGTAAAAAATGGTCATGACCTGTGCTTTCATTTTTAATTTGCTTTTGAACTTTTTACCCTTAGGTATTGAAAAAGAGTAAAAGAATTGACAGCTGAATGATCTTTGCCAAAATTGCTTGTGTTCACATATAAATCAAGCCATGTAGTAATTTGCTTGTGGCTCAGCAGCATGTATGAATTTAGCCAATATTTTTTTTGGCTTTAGGAGCTCAATATAGCGTTTGACAATTCACCCCTGTATTTCTTGCTATTGAACACGGATTGTAATTAATACACTATAATAACTGCAGACCTACACTAAAATGTATTTTACAAATATCCTCCCTTATATACCTTGCTACACTGACCTTTACTATG